GATGGATTCATACGCTGCTGCTGAGATTTCCGCAACTTCTTCCTGCTACCGCCCTTCACCTCCGCTTCAAGCCACTTTTTTCTGTTCTTCCATATCGGAGCCACAGTTAACTGAGATAGCCCCGACATCCAATTGCTTGAGTTATCGATAACTTTTCCTGCAACGAGAGCACTTTAGGCTTTTTCGAAAACATATTGACTGACTAAGACACAACTCGCAAAAGTAAACAACCGCTGGACAATGACCTTGCCACTCGTGACTGAGGTAGTCTGAACTTTAAATAAAATAACACATTTGTCATCGACTATTGAACGCTGAAAATTATCGCTATAAAGAGAGAACGATATCGGTATAGAGAGAGAATTAATACATTGTTCTTATGACGGACCAAACAACGTTTACTATTTTCATCGTTATAGAGGAATTATCGTTATATAGAGAATCGTTATAAAGAGAGACTACTGTATACTGTGAAATTAAAACAGTTGCTAACTGTATAGATTTACAAAACGATCTAAATTATATACATACGTGGTGTATAAAAAAACAAACTTTTTCTTAATATCAATAAGTCTAAAGTAGTAAGTTATTCTAGAAAGGAAAAAAATGTTGATTTTAATTATGTAATTCAGAGGTCAGATCTTGAAAAATGTAATAGCATTAAAGATTTAGGAGTTATATATTAATTCAAAATTAACCTTTAACAACCATATTGCGCAGAAAGTATTCGATGCTATGAAAATGTACGGTTTTATCATCAGAAACTGTAGAAATTTTAGCGACATAAGACCGATTAAACTGCGGTATATATCGCTAGTGCGAACAAAACTAGAATATTGTAGTTTAATTTGGTATCCCATTTATAAATATTAGATGCAACAGATTGAAAAGGTACAACGGAAACTTTTAAAATATTTAGCATTTAAGGTTGATGGAGTACATCCCGTACATGGTTATGATTACGATTTGTTATGTAACAGGTTTAATATTGTAAGTTTCGAGTTAAGAAGAATTATATTTTCGGTATCATTTTTATATAAGTTGTTACACAACTGTACGACGTGCGAGAACAAATATGTTACTGAAGTCACCCAGTTATATTATGTGCAATAATTATAACAAAATCTGCAACCGTTGTGATATTTTTTCAAGCTCAATTAATCATCTGGTTGATAGCGCACTGGTTTATGGAGTAACTTAAATTGTTAATTTTTTTTTGTGTGTATTTTTTTCTTATTTACATAGTGATTTGTTTAATTATATTGTTCTCACTCTTTATTTTGTTTTTCACCTACTTAGTTTCTACACTTATTTTTTTACTTGATATTTTTGTATCACCTACTGATGATTGTATACTAATTAAAAATGTAGGTATCTTAAATTTTTTACACTAGAAATGGGAAACTGTTGGGTAATAAAGCTATTATTTATTTATTTATTTATTTATTTATTTATTTATTTATTTATTTATTTATTTATTTATTTATTTATTTATTTATTTATTTATTTATTTATTTATTTATTTATTTAATGTTATAGCGAGAAAGTATTTGTACTACAATTTCCTGTATTTTAAACTACTTGAACGTGTTGGAACATGTCATTTAGCAATGTCAGGAGCTATAAAAAATGGATCAAAATTCCTTTTTGATAATATACATATAGTACATATCATATCATATCATATCATTAAGTACATATACATATCATAAAGTAGTTATATTTTGTGCACCAAGAATTATGCAGATATAATATTTGCATATAATAATAAAACACCCTGTATAATTGCGAATCCATGTGTAAAATCTACTTCTGCTCCTAGTAATTATAGTGTATAGTGACCAAATATTCCGGATAATGAAGAAACTTGGCATCCTCTCTTAACTCGGTCAAACCAAATAGTCGAACGAATACGCTTATAAATATTCTTTTTATAGCCTGAAACGAAATAGAGAGAAACAAAGATAGTGGACGTAGCGTCCCGACGCTTTACAGCTTATTCACAGCTGACAATCGCGTGAAACTATACGGAAAGCTTAAAATAAAACTAAAAAGCAACAAAAACAACGACCTTTTCACGCGAAATGTCTCTCGTAAGAATTTCTGCTAAAAGTTAAATTGTTTTCACGAGTTTAACGTGAAGCATTTTCTCGTTAAAATGTTCAAATGTGCAAGGGTAGTTATATTGTGATTTTAGTAGTGGTTATTGAGGCGATAAGAAGAAAGCCTGTCAACGTCGGTAAGTTTTCAGATACAAATATGATACAAATGTTAATAATATTTGGTTGTTCCAAGAGGCCAACTGTTTAAGGCTTGTTTTTATATCGATGGCTTACACGTAAAACCTCGTATGTCTGATTCACTATATTTTTCAGGAGGCAATAAAATGTATTTAATTTCAAAATAACGGTACTTTTTCTGAACATGAGTTGTTTTTTAGACACTTTAAGAACATATTTAATAATACAAAAAGAACAAATAATGTAATCGCGTAAATTATTGTTACTATGAGACATACAAGTTTTAACACTTCAGCAGAAGAGAAATGCAAGGGTTTACAATGTTTTTATTTATGTTACAGTATTTTAAAGAATCATAGAATCCGTGGAAGTCTTTGAAAATTAAACTCTTTAGTTCTTGCAAATGCTGGTACTTATGGAGTTTATTCTTTTGTGGGCATTGGTAAAGCTGTTTTGGCTCTTCAAATGTATCAGTTTTTTTGCACTCTATTTCTCAACAGAATCCAGTTTTCATCAAAACTTAATTTATAAAAGACTTCTGTCTCCGGAGTGTACTTTAATGCTGACAGGTCTGTAATAGTGGATTCTCCTGCTTTCGTACCTGGTCTTATTGAGGTATATATGACGGATTTTGAGAAATCCATAAAAAAAGAATGATCCAGGTAAACTACTTAGTAAGGTTTTGGGTTCCTTATAACATATGTAACATATATTTCTCGATTCCTGACTCTTTTTTTCTATTTGAGCATGGATGGAGTCACACTCCATTTGTGTATGCTCGTGTTCCAAGTATTTTTGTGCAATAGTTATATTTTTCTTTGCACAGAGGAGTAAAAAACTGTTTGTCAAATTTGAATTGCGGTTTTGGTAGCAACAACCGTCAATCCAAATTATTACTGTCTCATTATGAAGCGGTTTCAAATAATTTCGATGTGATGAGTGATTATAGAAGCAAACTCATTGGAAGTGACTCCTTCTTTTCCCTCATGCCAAACATAGCACACTCCATCTTTTGTCTTGTTGCTATACACTGTATAGTTGTGTACAACTTGCTTTGATTTATAATATAAAAGCAGAAGCTTTTAGCAAAACGCCAGAGTTAGGATCGAAGGTTCCACATCCGTAGAAGTAGAAATTAGGAAGGGAGTTAGACAAGGATGTGTTCTGTCGCCTCTGCTATTTAATCTTTACTCCGAGTTTCTATTTAAAGAAGCATTGGAGATTCCAAGGATAGAGTCAATATGTATGGCGTAAATATCAACAGTATCAGATACGCCGATGATACAGAGTTAATTGCGGATTCCGACTTAGGTCTACAACGACTCATCGACAAGACCAACTCGACCTGTGAGCAATTTGGTATGAAAATAAACCTTAAAAAAACCAAAGTGTTGTCAATCCGAAAAAACCAAAACGTACCTCAACCTTGCACAATAAATGGGCACATTTAGAACAGGTCAATAGATTTAAGTACCTAGGATGTTGGATCGATAGCAGCCTAAATCCTGATCTAGAAATAAGATCGAGAATAGAACAGGCCAGAAAATCTTTCGAAAAATAAAAAAATCGCTTTGTGATTCTCGAATAAAACTCGAAATTCGACTACGTTTATCAAAATGCTACGTCTGGTCGACTCTTCTATATGAAGTTGAAACGTGGACCCTTAAAATATCAACCGTAAATAAATTGGAGGCCTTTGAAATGTGGATCTACCGGAAATACTCAAAATTTCATGGACATTGCATACCCCAAACGAAGCAGTGCTGCAGAATAGGCAAGGAAAGAGAACTTTTTAACACAGTAAAAGTTAGAAAAACATCATACCTATGCCACATACTGAGAAATAATAAGTACCAATATGCCCAACTTATAGTGAAAGGAATAATCGAGGGAAAGAGAGACCTAGGAAGAAAAGACTATCGTGGCTCAGAAACATCCGACAATGGACAGGGCTAAATTTTAAACAGCTAATAAGAACAGCTGAAGATAGAGAAGAGTTTAAAATTGTAGTAGCCAACCTCCATTAAGGAGAGGGCACTTTAAGAAGAAGAAGAGGCTTTTAAAGATGGTGCTAATAAAATAGCTTGCTTGTCTACTGTAAGTACATGATCTTTACTCTGGTTCTCATACGGTTTTTCATTTCTTGCCAATTCCTTTTTTAATAAGTTATTTTCGTATATTTCTAAGGGTAAATTCCCTATTTTGTAACTCGTGCATAAATTTCACTGGTCTTTCCTAGGCATGTAGATTGACAAATTGTGAGCTTCAAATTCTTCGTGAAATCTTTAATGCTGACAAAGTCTTTCTCCAGTTCTTTGCACTTTTCCTTGTATAGTTCATAAACTTGCATCTTGGTTTGAAAAACTGGTTCCAGATTAAGCTTCGTGGTATCCCTCCTACAATAGTGGCTTTCTACCTTTGGCATAGTTTCAAAGAATTTTATTTTCCCTAAGAGTTAAATCTGGTTTTATTATATTACCATCTTTGTATATGTAATATTGATTTGTAGGTACTGCGGCCAAATAAAACGTGCTTGTGTTAAATATTTATCAAAATTTTGAAATGGTGATAATATTTCTCCAATAGCCTCAATTACTTTATTTGAAATATCTATCGGATGAATTGTTCTTTTCTCCCACGTAAAACTTTGCTTCCTTTTATGACATGTCTTGTTTTTATTTTTATGTTTTTTTTTTGCATTTTGATTTAAAGCATTACTTGTCGAACTTATTATATTAAAAAAACTTTTCTTCTTTTTAGCTATTTTTCTAAATGACGATGACCAATACGAGACTTCGACAATTGCAGTTATTAGCGTCATACGACGAGTCAACCTGTTTCACAGAGTGGAATCATTTTTGCACCCCCACATTTTTAAAGTTCGAAAATATGAAGTTTTAAAGACAGGCCAAATAGGTAAATATATTAGTTAAGACAACACCATTGTAGTACTTCTTCCTGGACGCATAAAATTTATATTTTATTTTTAAATCATTTATTGATTTTTTAATATATATATATATATATATATATATATATATATATATATATATATATATATATATATGTATAACAACAGATTAACAAATGCATTAGATGTTACACAGCCAAAGAGCAAGCTTGCTTTAGAGGTGGATTCTTCTTCTTCTTCTTAGCCTTCTGTCAACCATGCTTGGACATAGGCCTCTCCCAACTCCTTCCATCGGTCTCTATCCTGAGTAACATATTTCTAATTTGTTCGGGCTATTCTTCTAATGTTATCACCCCATCTCATCTATGGTCTTCCTCTTGGTCGTTTACTTTCGTAAGGTCTCCAATGTTGTATTGTCGTATTCCAACGTTGGTCTTTCTGTCTAGCAGTGTGGCGCGCGAAGCTCCATTTAAGTTTTGCAATTTTTATTGTTATGTCATCGACTTTTGTTTTGGATCTTACCCAGTCGTTCCTCTTTTTATCTGACAGTCGTATACCTAACGTTGCTCTTTCCATTGTTCTTTCTGTTGTGGCTAGTTTATTCATGTTTGCATTGGTTAGGGTCCAGGTTTGACATCCATATGTCATGATAGGAAGGATGCATTGGTTGAACAATTTTGCTCCTCAAGTATTGGGGTATTTTGCGGTTCTTAAGTATCCAACTAAGTTTTCCAAATCCTGCTCATGCTAGTCTTGCTCTTCTAGTAATTTCCGCACTTTGGTTCTCTTTGTCAAGTCTCAGGATTTGGCCTAGGTAGATATATTCCTGGATTTATTCTATCTCACTGCCGTTTATAGTTATATGCCTGGGGTCTTCTGTGTTTGTAATTATTTTTGTTTTTTACATATTTATTTTTAGTCCAACGTATTGGGAGCTGGCTGCTAGTTCCCTCAACATAATTTGCAGTTCCTCGAATGTGCTCGCCATAATCACTATGTCTTCAGTGAATCTGAGGTGGTTTAACTTGTTGCCATTAACGTTAATGCCATAGGTTGACCAATTCTAGGTACAAGGTAGTCTATTCTACAATTATTAATAGCTTTTTCTATGGCTCACATCTCGATACTATCAAACGCCTTTTCATTTGCCTTCTCTATCAATGTTCTCATTGTCAGCAGATGGTCTGATGTACTATATCCTTTGCGGAAGCCAGTCTGTTCAACCTGTTGGTAATTATCCATTTTGTAGGTTAACCAGTTATTAATAATTCTCATAAATAGTTTGTATACTTGACTGAGCAACGATATAGGTCTATAATTCTGGAGATCACATTTGTCCCCTTTTTTGTGTAAGAGTATTACTAGACTCTCGTTCCAGTCTTTAGAGATCTGGCTATTATGGAGACATCTATTAAATAGCAGTGTTGGTACACGGATTGTTAATGTCTTGCTGGTTTTCAAAAGCTCGGCAATTATACCGTCGTGTCCTGGAGCTTTATTATTTTTTAGTTCTTTTAAAGCTCTTTCTATTTCCTATCCCTTTATATTTGGTAGTACTTCTGATCCCACGTATTTTATTTTTCTTTTGACGTTCTCCTTTGTTGTTTCATTAGGCCTGCCTTGCGAGCTATACAAGGATGTGTAGAAGTCTTCGACAATATTTGTTTTTTTATATTTGCCCTTCTCTACCTTATTGTTAGCGTCTTTAATTTTGATGATTTTTTGAACTCCCAGTACTGTCTTAGACATTTTAAGCCTCTGTTGTTTTCAATTACTCGCTCTATTAAGTTCTCGTTCCATTTTTGTATGTCGCGTTTTAGTTATTTTCTAATTGTTTTATTAGTTCTCTATATTCTTGAGTATGGCGTTTTGTTTTGCGCTAGTAGTTGTCTTCTTTCCGTCATTAGCTGTTTAGTTTCATTGCTTATTTTGTCTTCTTTAGTCCTTGTTTTCTTTGCTACCTGTAGTCCTGCTGCGAGAAGGTTTTTATTTAGGTTTCTTATGTGAAGGATCAGATTCGAACTTATCCGGTAAGACCTCTTGGAATTGCTCTTCATTTGTTCTTAGTTTAAAGGCATCTATCCTCGTTGTTTTTTTAAAAATCCTTTTTCTCTCTTCTTTCATGTTAATATTTATTTTTGCTCTGACTATACGATGGTCACTGTCCGTTGTTACGTTGTTTATTGTTGTGACGTCTTATAATATTCCTTTGTTGTTTGAGAGGAAATAGTCTATTTCATTTTTGGTAGTTCCGTTAGGTGCGACCCATGTCTACTTTCTGTTAGGTTTCTTTTTGTAGAAGGTATTCATAACATACATGTTTTCTTGTTCCAGGAATTCCATGAGTTTTTCTCCTCTCGTGTTTCTTGTGCCAAATTCAAAGTTTCCAATCTTGCTTTCAGAGTCTTCAATCTTACTTTCAATTTTGGCGTTAAAGTCTCCCATTATTAGTATTTTGGATTCTTTGTTGTTGTCTATAGCTTTTTTAACGTCTTCGTAAAAAGAATTTTATTTCCTCATCGGTTGCTTTTTTCAGTTGGAGCATAAACTGCACGATCTTTATTTTAGTTTTTAGATTTAGTTTTAAGACCGTGTATGTGACCCTGTCTGATATGCTGTCAATAATTTGAATTTGAGATTTTCTCTTCTTGTTGATTAAGAAACCTACTCCACCGTATGTGTAGTCTTCCCCCAATTCCTCTTCTAGTTCGTAGAATTTTTCGTCTTTTGCCATGGAGCGGATGTTGTATGTTGCTATATGAAGTTGTTTGTTCTTCTTCTTTTTCAATGTCGACTTGCCGCCCCCTCCAGAATGAATCCTCGGGCAGACCATTGTTACGTGTTTCTGTTGCAATCGACATGTTTGGTTTTGGAGGTTTTGGCCATAACCCACCACGCTAGCCAGACGGGTTGGTGGGGTATAAGAATGTATCGTGTCCACCGTGTAACACCCCTCAGAAAAGATGGGTCGGCACCACTCATTCTTAATGGAATTACATTTCCTTAATTCCGGATGTAACAGTTATACCGCTGATACTCGGTCGTTAGAGCCTCGTTTGTGATAACGGGGATTCAGTGCCCTGAATCATATCCATACGCTTCGAGAACTTATGAGTAAAGCTAAAGACTCTGAAATACTTCTAGCTTTGACCTTCATAACTTTCGAGAAAAATTTCGATTTTATATATCCCAAAGCAATAATAGAAGCTTTGACCAACCAAGGCATTGACAAAACCTATTAAACATTTATGAAAACACTCCAGGATTTCACACTACCAGACGCGTCCTACAAGGAGACGTAATATGTCCAAAACTCTTCACCGCAATCCTAGAATATATATTTTGCAAAATGAAATGACATAAGGTATTCCGCCATTTCATTTTGTATTTAGTTATATACAAAATATTCTTTATACCATAAAATTTCAATAATGGCTGAGGTATTCTACATTAATAGAGAATACCTCAGCAATCTAAGATTTGCAGATGACTTCGCTATGATCGCTAATAATTCTGCAGAACTACAACAACTTATAAGTGATATAAATGCAGCTAGCAATAATAAACAACACTGCACTTGACACAGTAGACGAGTACATATACCTGGGAAAATTATTACATAAATCTGGCTACTTACTCCCAAAAATCAAGAGAACATTGAAACTGGCTTGGACAACTTGTGGTAAAAATACAGTTATTTAAGTTAAGTCACTAAAGATCAATGGAGCGATGCATGCTAAGCATAACAAAGAGAGATCGCAAAAGAATGGAATGAATCAGACAGAAACCGTGGTCACTGATATAATTCACAGTACAGATGGTCCACTAGAATTACACTGTGGTATTCAAGATGTGTCAAGAGACCACGACGACGTTTAAATTAAGATGTTACTACGGTATTATATATAGGAGAATCGATTTCATTTTTTTTTATTATTTTCCAATAATTTGTTGCCACATTGTTGTCATAGTTGCCACAATGCTGTCGTCTAACAGCTACATTGGTCGGTTTGAATTTATTAAGTTCTTAGTACACTATCTGCTTAATCAGACCTTTAATCCAGTGTTCAGTTTATAGTAAATTTAATACGAAGGAAAATACTGATTCATTTACAGTGTCTTAACAGGATACTTCGCCTTAAAGGGCACAAGATCAAAATCGTGTCAGAAAGCCACCTAAAGCTATGCCTAAGGCATAAACTTTGTTAAAAAAGTTAGGCTGAAGGGACAACTTTAACCTAGGGATAAGATACAATAATAGATATATCATACAAAAAGACTAACTATCTTACTAGTAAAACACTCGCATTCTACGGTTATTCCGTATTTATACCTAGAATAGTTATCCTAAGTATAAGGTAAATATGTAGTATATGTTAGTTAGCAGTATTCCCAATTTATTCCAAAATAATAGTTTGGCAATGTCGCAATCTTTTGCACAAATACATAGAACAACGACTATTGAGTGGAATATGTTAACTTTGATTTTTCTTTGAGACTGACAATGACAACTGACACCAAATATATCTTCATCAGCATATCTGATGTTGTTTATGCTGATTCCGTTAATCTTAATTCCGCCTTGGACCTGGTCTAATGCTTCTCTGAATATAGACTCCGAATACAAATTAAACAGTAGCGGTGATAAGACGCAACCCTGTCTCACTCCTCATAGGATTTGTATATCTTCGGATGTTGTGTGCTCTATTTCAATTGTTGCCGTTTGTTGCCAGTTAGTTCTGAGATAATTCGCAAGTCTTGTACGTCAACTCCAGTTGTTCTCAGAATTTCGATCATCTTTTGACGGTTAACGCAGTCAAATGCTTTTCGATAGTCAATAAAACATGCATATACATCTACATTCATGTCTCTGCATTGTTGCGGTGGGTAAGCGCCCAATCATATTAAACCCATCCTAACCTAACTTTCTATCGAGAATAAAGCATATTGTTAATAATAATGTAAACGTTTATTGAATTATTTAATTATTCGTCACAAAGTACGA